ATTGACGGACGACGGATGGCTCCAGTTCTTTGAAGTTCAGACTTCCATGATTTGAAGTTTTCTGGAAATATTTGATTTATCGGCGAGCTGCTTTCCGTCAATACACACACACACACACACACACACACACACACACACACACCACACACACACACACACACACACACACCACACACACACACACGCACACACACACAAACACACACACACCACACACACATACCCACTCACACTACTTTAGCAGAACTTGAATGCATACTTTACAAGCATTTGCTTTAATATTTCTAATTATAATAAATCTCTTTCTATAAAATAATTTGATACAAATTGTTCATCCGTCTTTCTGTTAATTACTTTCATTGATTACTTTTTATGTTGCTCGCTGGCTGGCAAGTAATTGATAAGAATGTTTTCTGATAAGGAGAAAATGGCACTGGACATTCGTATCTCGAAATGGACAGAAGTCTTCTCACAAATTACTCTTTCCTGTGCACGGCTATTACAAACAACACGAAACACAACAACTTATAATAGAATAGTAATAGAATGTTCATTCTATACACGAATGAACATTATTATTGATAGTTAATAAACGCAAGTATTTGGGCCTATCCAACTGAGATGAAAAGATATATTTAACGTTACTCGATAAAAGTAGCACCGCGGAATAATAATTCTATCGCTGTCGTAGTAAAACATCGAGTTTGTTATAATAAACATACAGCAGTCACACATTTATGAGCAGCTAAAAATTTTTAAAAATCTAAATTATGCTAATTTTTTTTAGAAATCATTTAGAAATATTTTCATTGTTCGCAGAGAAAAGAGGGCAGACGATAAATATTGAAAGTGTTGGTCGCCACCCTTCAACCCGAGATCACATGCTGCATTCGTTCGCGCTATTTATTGCTTGTTAGATTGCTTTCAGCAATTGTTTCTATTTCTAGCATTCAATATTTTTTTTATTAGCTGTCTGTAGGCATCACGCTTTATTAATTTTGTGCCCGGCAGGTTTTTGCATTTGCAAATTGAACTGAAGCAAACATATCAAACATACTCGCCGGTGGTTGTTAGCGTCAAAAACACCCAACATGCTGTTAGTTCATATAACGCTAAAAAATAATTTTCCATTAAAAATATTTTTCATTCGTCAGCGAATGTGAAATGTGAGTTGAGATGAGACGTTGTTTACCAACCATCGTTGTTCGTGTCGACGCAGGCCAGATCGCTGCAGCACTGCTCGGTCGTGTAGCACTCACTCGTCACTGTCAAGCACTGTACGAGGGAGGAAAATTATTCTTATAGAATAGGGGCATCATTAGGCATTATCGCATTATTGTAAGAAAATATATTCATTGGAATATATAAAATATGACATTAAAAATATTCTATACAATAGAATAAAACAAAGTTTATGGTACAATAAACTTATGAGATTAAGTTAAAAAATTGGTTTGGAATAAATTCGAATATTGTACTCAACTCAAATTCATTTGAAATAGGCAGATAGTGGCTATTTGAATTTAGAGCGCTGGTATCTTTTACATTTGTATTATAATAAAAACTCATCTAATCTCTAGGACTGCAAAATTTTAGAATGATGGTAAACTTTCATATTGCTATTAGGGATGCACCGAAGTTCGGCCCCGGCTCCGGCCCCGGCCAATATCCGGCTTTTTTTTCAAATCCGGTCGAATCCGGCCCCGGCCGGATTTAGGGCCGGATTTAAGCGTCTATCAACTTTTAAAAATGTTAGAAATAGAAAAATAAATTTTATTGAATTCAATTAATTTTATGTCAATAAGTTAATGGCTAAAGCTAAGCTAAAGGCATACATGACACATAATAACAACATCACTAATTGTGAGGTGATCTGGACAATTTTCTTTATGCTATAACATGGGTTATGCATAAATTATAAGCTGATCTTTGTGTAAAAGAACTTGTGCACGTGTATATACTATATATTGATAATTTCACATGACGGATCATATAGCTACATAATATATATATATATATATATATATATATATATATATATATATAAAGATATATATCTATATATCTTTTTTACAATATTCTATAAATTTATAGAAAACGCCAAACATTCGGTAGAATTTATAGAATATTGTAAAAATTACGGTCTATTACCAACATCTATATATCTATATATATATATATATATATATATATATATATATATATTTAGAGAGAGAGAAAGAGAGAGAGAGATACATAAGCACATAATTTAAGAACATGGTATGCATGACACATAATTACAACATCAGTAATTGTGCGGTGAGCTGGACAATTTTCTTTGTGCTTTAACTTAGGTTATGCAAATATGCATAAATTATAAGCTGATCTTTGTGTACAGAATTTGGCGTTTCTCACAACTTATTCATATATTTGAATTAAATAACTATTTGCTTGGTGTTATTTTTTGATGTTCAACATGTAGATAACCGTAAATGTGAGTATTTTTTCTAACGTATGTAAAATGGTAACTAAAATCCGGCCCCGGCTCCGGCCCCGGCCGGTTTTAGAATTTCAAATCCGGCCAAGTCCGGCCCCGGCCGGATTTGAAAAACCTGAATCCGGTGCATCCCTAATTGCAATAGTAACGTTTGAGAACATTTTCTTGCAAACTCTTCTTGAAAAAAATCGTTGATTTCTCATCGTTCGCCTCCAAATCCTCAACATAATCATGCCAAGCCACGCGGGGCCACAATTCTACGTATGAGTGCTTCAGTAAGACTCGTGCTCTTAAAAATTCTTTAAAAGGTTTTAAGCATGGATTCTTGAAGAAACGGATGTTTATGTAAAGTTGCAAAACTTTTATCGCCAACATCATCTTCTTCCAACTTGTTGTTGCTGTTGTTGCCTGCATCAATCGTTTCAATATCTTTTTCATCATATTTCTCTCTCTCTTTTTATCTCTATCTTTTTCTTTTTTCCCTATTGCTTCCTTTTTATCATCATCTTGACAACGTCATTACACTTATTAAGATTAGTATGCCAGTATGCCATTATCATTATTACTGCTTGCCATGTTCATGCTCGTTGCTTGTTCGTTGCATGTTTGTAACATGTTTGTTACATGTTCGTTATATGTTCGTCACATGTTTGATACATGTTCGTTATATGTTCGTCACATGTTCGTCACATGTTCGTTACATGTTCGTCACATGTTCGTCACATGTTTGTTACATGTTCATGTCACATATTCATGTTTATGCTCGTTACATGTTTGAAACATGTTCATGTTCAGTTCACGCTCCCTCGCTAACATCACCCACGTTCATCATACATATTGAAGGCGGGAAACAATTAGGAGCGCAACTAAACAGAGTGATTGCAGCTAAGATTCAGTACAATGTAGTATGGTGTGTAGTGAATTGTAGTGCAGTAGTCTGGTGTGGTGTAGAGTAGTTTTATGTTGATCAAGTCGACAACATGCTTGCATGTTCATGTAAATGGATGTACGCAAATTTGTACATGTTTGTTCCAGCGACGTCAACATTTCATCCACCAATGCACTGTTACATGCGTAGTTACATAAATTTACATGCCTGTGTACATTTCGTACAAAGACTGAAAAGTGCGTTGAGTGTCTGCTTCATCGACGTTTAAATAAGATTATTGATTATTGGATTTTTGTCGATGCTTCATATTCGCCATGTTGTCCGCTTCGGACGCTATTTCCGTCCACACTAGCAACATATTTACGCATACACACACGTACAAACAAACACACACGCGTGCACACATACTTATACGTATGCATATGTAAACTTTATATGCAATAATATTTATATTTCTAAAGATAAACTTAAGAAGGGAACTATTTTTGCCGTTCATGTGGGTAGGAGACGTTGCTTTTTACATTGTAAAAATGCATCACGTCGTCAAGAGTGGGTTTTACTTTCTGCATTTTTGTCACATTTTTGTGTTTGCCTGTGTTGATGTACTGCCGCTCAATGTACATGGAGGCTTGGTGTTTGCTGTCTTACGTGTTTGTTAGAGGCGTTTTGTTGTTTTCCATGTTTTTTTTTTTGTTCTGTCAACACACTTGGGTGACGTCAATCAGATCATCATGCAATACTCAATAGTGTATGCAGCTGGGTAAGTCGTTGGTTTGTTCGTTTGTTTATTCATTTATTTATTTATTCATTTGTTTCTTTTTAAATTGCAAAAAACTGTGCATTTCGATGAGAAATTTGAGCAATGGTTTGTTTGAAACTAATGTAACAACTCAATATTGATTGAAAAATAAATCTTAGGTTTTGTTTCTAATGATTTTGCAACTGTTTAAAAATTTTCTGCTGCCAGGTCACAAACGAATGCGCATCTACTTTGTTTAGGATCTGATCGTTGACTTTAGAAGCACCTTACAAAAAAATATTAAAGCTGATACAACTAACATCAGAAATAACTTTAACTTTTATATATAATTTTTTGTTAAGGTGTTCTCATTTAAATTTTAAAAATATAAAACAACTTGTCTGCAAAGAATGTGTCACACAAAAATATGAACGTGTTTTAAACAATGCAATTTTTTCAGGAATTGAGTGACGGATGTTATGAGGCAATCATGTTGTTTAAATGAGCAATCTATGCAACAAACTTATTTGCTGTGCTATATTATATTATGCTTCATCTAACTCACCAAAACGTCCAAATATATTACATTTGTCAATTTTGGTGGAATAGTTAAAGCGCTTGGTCTTAATGTTGTAGTGACGGCGTTCGGAGGCATAGAGATCCCCTCCTACCACATGCGATGCGCGAATTTGCGCGTATTTTAATTCACTCTCATTTTCCTTTCAAGTTTTACGTTAAATTTTATAATCAATTTTTTCTCCAAACTACTACATATTTGACCAAAAATTTTGGGACTTTAACAGCTTTTTAAACAATTTACTGAAACCTTATCATGAACTTTGATAAATTAATAAACCACTTATGAAGAGGTTTCATATTTTGCCCATGCAACCATTTATCATTGAGCACCAGAAGTTACATCGAAATTAACAGAAGAAACTTCATGTAAAAACAGAAAGTAAGAACAAGAGAATGAGGCACGGTGATGTATTAATATATTTCTAGATGAAAAATGAAAAGAAATAAAAGTAGCAGTTTAAATTTATGGCCAGTCTCCTTTGGGTATTGCATAAAAAAACAAACTGCATAAATATTCGTATAACTTTGAAAAACCACATAAATATGCAGAAAAAGTATGCATAAATAGATAAATTTTTATTTATTTTTGTCGTAAAAAGTAAAAACATCGCTACAATATTGTTAAAAAATAAACTATTGCGCTAAAACTATTAAAAAAATTTTGACGAATGGCAAAGTTTTAAAAATTTTTGATGAAGGTTTGTCAAAAATGTTAAAATGATAAAAAATTTCTTAAAAAAGTGGATTGAGTTAATTATATATCAATATTTGTACGTAATAATGAACTAATGTGTTAATGGTATGTTGTTTCTGTGATTGTTATCATATGATAAGTAGTTATCGTGTGAGGATATGTTGATAATATGTTGATGTTATAGCCTCTTAGTACGTAATAATGCATTAATGTCATGGCAAGGTAATATGTGACAACGTGTTAATGTATCTTACTTTATCTCTACGCGAATCTGACTGGCGGCGTGCGAGTGATTTTGGTCTGTCGTTCGCCATTGCACAATTCTGTGAAATTGAAAAAGAAGAAAATTTAATTTGCAGCGCGAGTGACGCAGATGTGCTGATGTTTTTTGTGTGTTTTTTGTGTGTGTGGTTGTTATGTTGATAATATTTTCATGTGTGCCTGGTTGGTTTTTGTTTTTTATTTTTGTTTTTTGTGTTTTTTTTAATAAAAATTGAAACAATGGTTCGGAAAATTCATTAGATTTTTATGCTTCAGTAGTTTATCTAAAAAATATTTTTATTTTTAAAGAAATAAACTTTATTATTCCTAATATTCTTTTTTATTAACAAAAAAAATTGATAGATTTATTGGCCAATTAATGAAGAATTTGAGATATTTAATATTCTCGATATTCTATGTACAAGCATGGAACGTCATAGAGTCTCATTTCAAATTATTCACAATTTCCACATTCACATCAACTCGGACGCAAATGGTTTTGAAAGGAGAATCTATAATGAGCGTGTGACAACAAATCAGCTACTGCCACGTAATCATTCATTTAACGACACCCGGTTGACAATGCCAAAACGAGGCAGAATCCCTCGAAGGCCTATTTCCTAATCCATCTTTTTTTCTTCAAGAAGCTTGTTAAGAAGATTTGAAAAAATCTCTACCAAGCGTGCATTTCTGAAGTATATTTCAATCTGAAATAACAAGGCAGAAGCAACAGCAAAGTAAAATTGGATTGAAACTAACAATAACTGACAGGCAAGACGTGAAAATGAATGCTGACGTCTTTCTAATTGTTTATCATCATCTTCAAATGAGCCATCGTCAGATACTCAAAGCACTGTCCGTTACGTAATGCGCAGATAAGCTTAACGACCTGCGTAATATGGGCGATGTGTGCGTGCGTGCATTGCACTGCCAGTAAGAACGTTCTCACACACTCACACACACAAACACTCACACACACAAACACTCACAAACACACACACACACGTTTAATGTTGAATGGGTTAGTAGATGTAAGTAAATGACAAAGTAGAGGATATGTGGTATATTATCATATATTTTCATTATTATAAGAAAATTAATTTAAATATATATATATTTATATTTATTATAATTATATTATTATTATTATTGTTTATTATCACAAAATGTTATTGCGATAGAACGGTCATTATTTAATATCCTGAGTGGCGATGCTTTCAGAGCATGCTGTATCTTATTTATATTCCATTTCCTTGTAGACAATTAAATCGCGTATGCATGCATGCCTGTATGAATGCATGCATGCACGCACGTACAAATTCACGTGCGTGTGTTGTGTGTGTATGTGAAAGTCATACAACATACGTGTATGTGTGTGTGCAGATAGTCTCGGCTAGATACGCACTGCATTTGTTTGTAGCATGAAACACTTTCTTGCAAACATGCATGTATGTTGTATGGCAACAGTTTGTTTAATGAGCAATTGCAGGCTTTGAGTTTATTTTAACATACACGCGTACACACACTCGTACATGATTTTGATAACTCCTTCACTGGACATGCTGCATGCTGGGTAGATACAAGAATGCATTTGATAAGTTGTTCATTGAGTTACAGAGCTGAGCAAACACGTGCTGACCACTCCATTAAACAAACAACTTTTGCTAGTTCGGTCGGTCCATTCATGCGCACGCATCTGCCCGTGCTTCTTCGCAATTGTTCCATTGCTCAACGCACTGGATGTAGGGTGCTGGCAAATAAAAGAATGGGTGTGTGCCTACTTGTCTCTTTATGTATTTGTGTGTATGTCTGTGTATACGTATGTATGTATGTCTGTGTATGTATCTGTGTGTACGTCTGCGTGTATGCAAATTTGTGTTGAATATGTATGTATGTTTATTTAGAAATTGTCAATTAATATCTGTAAAATTTGAGCAGATGAAAATTTACAATCAAATAACGAAGTATGCTGCGTTGTGATGTTGTAGAAACTTAGCAGCAGCAGCAGGAAGAAGGCGAACAAACATTCGAACCCTCCTACTCCCTCGAGTCTCATACCGAAAATATAAGAAGACCAAAAATCGAAGCATCTCATTTCCGCAATATTTTCTTCCGGGTAGGCCTATACGTCGGTATAAACAAGCATTCGTACACAGATGTGTACATATATGTATGAACATTATTTATAAGTAAGGAATATATTTTTTACGATTGCATGCATCCGTTATTCCTTATGAAAGCACAATAGGCAGGCACCGTATTGGTTTTTCGTGAGTCAGTGCCAGATGTCGTGCCCTAAAAATATCTTGCGGACGCTGAAATTTTAATGTTTGTTTTTGTAAAGGCAAAAAAGTTGTTTTTTGAAAATTGTTGCAAATGTAAATATATTATGATATGCTTAAACAAGTTATGACCCTGAGGTTCCTTGCTGCCGTGTAAGGAATTAACCGATGGTTTAAGTTTAATAGCAAGTTTTAAGCTGCTAATAGAAATTAGAAAATTTGAATCAGTGATCAAAATTTTACTATTTTCATAGTTTACGCAAATTAAGCTAAGGCAAATATGAAAAGTGACTCGTGAAAAGCAGAAGTAGCCTTTGATTGATTTCACCCTAGGCAGTCCTGCCAACTGGAAATCATTGGTGGGTCGGTGGCTCACTGATTTGTGCCAGAGCTTTCACGCCACCCTTCATTCTCATTTTTATGTATTTTTTTTGTTATTTGTCAACTCACGCTGCAGCAAATTTTTTATTTGTTTCCTCTTTTCTGAAAAATTTTCAAAGTCCTAAATTACTAAACTAGCAGGCCTACTTTTAAATTAAACGCCAATCATATTGACTGCCGTGAAGATGGAAACACGCAGACGTGCTGCAGATGGGAGGTCCGCTTATTTAAATCATGCATTGCAACGTAAAACGCAACCTCAATCTTAATGCTGATTTTCAAAACTCGCTCTCAACATACGTTTACAAAAATTTCTCTGTTACACAAAATATTTTATAGAACATCTTTCATCAAACAACATTATTACTTGAGTTTTAGCCAACCATTTTGACTGCAATTAAACAAAACTTCTCGTTCGTTTGCTGCATCTACCTACCTAATGAGCGTTATTGTTATCGTTTAATTTTTGTCTGTAATTTTGAAAAATAGACATCTACCACTTTAGAAGAAACAAAAAAATTTAATGAACGTTTTTTTTGTAAGACTAGACGACTGGTAATTAGAAATCTGGTCTGGTACCATTAATCATGTCCGCTGGACAACAATGATGCCTATCCATTACCTTCCATCAATCATTCAAAACGCAGTGAACGTTCATAAAACTTTTCACACATCACAATTATATCTCGTAAATTTCTCTCTATAATTTTACTCCTAAAAATTTCGCTCTGTAATTATAATTTTTTTTCCCTTTCAATGTAAATTGTGTTTTGATGTAATTGTTCTAATGATATATAATTGTTTTCATTCGCATTGAACAACGCTCTGAAATTAAAATTCTACTAAAAATTATTCGCACAAAATTATTTTCTTTGAAAAAAATTTTTTTTTTTAAATATACACCACTCCTAAACTCTAAAAAACTTGTATAATGATCATTTTCATTAAAAGCATTTTATTACATTTTATAAATCATAATTTTGTCATCACCGCCCAACCATAATAATAAACACCATCACCATCATTATCATCATCACAATCATCCCCGAAATCAACAACAACATCATCTGCACCGTCGTCATTCTCCTCACCGTCTTCATCCTCACAATCACTATTAGTATATCAGCTCGCACAATCATTTAGATTGCCCGGTACATAGATGAATGAAGTGCATTGATTGATTGACGGAGGCAGCAGCAGCAGAAGATAAGCTGGTTAATTCCCTCCATTGTGTCGCGAGGAGGGAACGTTTGATTAAATGCGGCACATCATTCATCCAGACTCTTTCAACTTCTCTCCGAAAATTTTTAGAAAAAATTTTTTATTTCCAAATAGTAAATCTCAACAATATCTGGAGTGATCTTAACTTCCATCAATTTAAAAATTACACTAATCTCACTAGGCAGTAAACCGCTCGTAAATCAGGGATGTTATGCTCGTTCGTGCAGTTTTTACGATGAAATTATGTCTAATAAGGTTCACGGCAATTTCCTGAATGAATAATTTGGAACCGACGATGGGATGATGAAAAATTAAGCCAACGTAAGCAGCAGCTCAGCGGAGGATCAACGTTTGTTCTGATAAGGGCACATCAAAGTAAATATTACAAATCAATTTTCCTTTCATGTTTGTTAGTGCCCGCTCGTTCCTTCATCCTCTCCGGTGAATCGTCTGCATGGTTTTATGCCATGCTAACTGCTATTTGGCATCAGTTCTTGGATAGCCTAACTTCTATTTTTATTTTTGAAAATGTCAAACGTTTTAGTAAATGTATAAACTTTTCAAATCTTGATAATTCAGAATTCTATTGTTATATTACTCTTACTACTTTTTGTACTAGTTGTTTGAAATTCTTGATTGAACAGCTTATTTGTACAACTAAGTTACTTCAGATCCGACGATGGGATGATGAAAGTTACTTCACTAAGTTACTTCAGATCTTTGAACAATCCGCAAATTCTCTCGTTTATACGCGCTTGTGATCATTTATGAATGAAAAAATTTGTCAAAAAATGTTTTTATATATTTTACACGTACTAACATTTGATTTTTTCCAATCATCTCATTAATTTTCTTATTAAAATAAAATGTTTGCGTATCAGAGAGTGAACAATGTTCACTGAATTATTTTTTTTCGATTTTTCTTTTCGTACGCATTACGACGCAGCAGAGCACAGAGTGCAGATGATATAATTTAAAAATGGAACTTATTGATCGATGTTCAGGCGGTTAATGAACCAGAGATGTCTTTCCAGGAAATTGCCTCTTCGAAAAGCGCAATAAATAAAATAATTTCAAACTCTTGAAGAGGCAGGTAAAATTTTTATTGTGATAACATGGGCAACATAAATTCGAATTATAAATTTATAAATGACATAAATAAATCTAAAATCAAAAAGTAAATGTTACATTGTGTGTCGTTATCCGATTTCAGCCAACAAACCAATTCACGTTTATATATACGTTAAATTATATGTATACATATTTGTATTTGTAGGAAGATACTTGTTGTATACATATACACAAATATACATAGTAGATGTAGAGTGTTGTATCTGTAAATATGAATGTGCATGTTGTGTTTGCAGATGTACTTGTTTGTTGTGTGTGTGCATTCGTGTGGAGGCATCGTACAAACAGATCGATCGAAATTTTCCAGTTGTTTGATGGATGATGCGATGCCTTCTCAGATAATTTTTCAAATGATAGAATCATTCTCTTTCTCTCTCATAAAAATGATAAATTTCTTAAAAATTTTCATGTACAATTTCTGTTTCCTATGGTCTTACAATCCTCAAAATTTAAAACTTCTTCACCACTTATATATATATTCTCATCTGTGTACGCACATATCTATGTAAAAATATTGGCACGTATGTACACGCAGTACGCACGAGACTTATGATAACCTTCGAGTTTTGCCGTCGCTGCGGTTGAACCCGGTAACTGCCTCAATACGAAACATGGGACACCGAGAAAACTTGCCGAACGAAAGCATTTTAAGTGTCATATAACAAAATGTTTGAATAAAAATCTTAATAATAATGATAAGTCGACGATTTTGTATTGAAGTCTTACGATACGAACATGTAGTTTGTGAGAATTTGAAGTTGAGTTGGCATCACGGCCTATTGAAGAAGTAGTCTCAAAAAATTATTACGGCCATGATGGAGTCAGTTTAAAATGTGAGTAGAAAATTATATGAAAGATTTGTTAGGAGAAACAGCAGCTGCAACAAAAATTCTGAATGAAAAAATGTAGTGGAGTTTGAAGAACGCAGAGGTAATAAATTTATGAAAAAGTTGGAAAATTTTCGCTTCACATTTTTTTCTGTTTATTTTTCGTTTTTTAGACGATAACAATTTTTATGAAATAAAACTCGTTACTAAATCAGTATATTTAATAAATAATTGGTGTCAACTTTTTATACGTGGATTTAAAAAATTAACTTAACACGTGATAGAAAAGTATTTTTGGAGAATTCATTGCCTCTAAAATTGTAAGTATTAAAAGGAGCGTCGAATTTTTCGAAAATTAATTTAAAAATTTCAAAATATGCCTAACTAAATAGAATTTTTTTTCTTTTTTTTTGGTTTTTTCTTAATTAAAATTGTTACATTATCATTTTGCCAGGAATCTTAAACCATGACAACGTAACAAAACATTCCTCAATCTGGTTGAAACTTTTATATTTAAAAGAAGTACCAAAAATTTCTGAAGACCTAACCTCCTTTTTCTTGACATTCATATCCTTCAGCTCGTACCCTTGGAAGTAGCCATTACCAATGTAGCTCTGTTGCAGGGAGGTGGCGATACAATTGAGTCCCACCAACATGAACACCAACGTTCTTCCGTGCAGTGCCATGCGAACGGTGCTTCCTTCTTGGTAGGCGGTCGGCTGGTCGGCCTGGTACTCAGTGAGTAGGAGCTGTCGGGGCGATGGAAAGTTTATTGAAAGTTGAATGGTTGTAAATTTTTCAAAAAGTTTTTTTTGTCTCAAGTGTAAAAATGCAGTTTTTGGAAAATGACTGTATGTTGAACAGTTATGAATGAAATTAAGAAAAAATGTTTATCAGAAGAGTAACAGGTAATATTAAATATTATATACGAAAAAAAGCTACAAGTAGTCGCTTGATCAGATAATGAAAAACAAACAAAAAATTAGCAAAAACAAATTGAAATATTTGCGAAAAATGGAAATGATCAAAGCTCACCAGAACGGAACAATTATTCTTCTTGATGCTGAACAGACGAACGAGCGAGCGAACGAGCGAACGAGCGAACAAACGAGATAGAACGATATGAAGATGTGTGGTGGATGGTCTGTCGAATTATCTGCTTCACTGATGACGCAAGGTTTTATACTCTCCAGCCATACACACACACACTCACGCACATTCATTCGTGACATTGCGTGTGCGTGTGCGTGTGTGCTTCTCATGCAAACGCCTACACAAATATCTATTTCATACACCCACGCACGCGTATACATATTTTTATATAGTGGTATCAAATATACACACATACTATATTTATATACCCAACATATGTGACTGCAATTTTAACGTTTGGTTCTTTGTTATGCAACTGTAAAATGTATATGACTTGTAATTAAGTCTTCTTACAACAAAGACTGTACCGGTGATGAATTTGTTTAAAATTTGAGAAAATTAAGAAGGGTTCATTTCATTGACATTTTAAGCAGTTTTTGGCCCATTTACTCAAAACTTCCTTCACTGAAATCAATACTTCCCATTCAGACAAGCAAGTCCAAACATTTTGTGCTTCAATTATATCTACACTTCATGCAACATCTGATCTAGTTTCAATCACTTTTTCTGGATACTGAGAAGAAATTTGTTTCGATGTAAGATATAAAAGTTATAAATTTACTCAAACAACAACAGCCATATCTAAACAACTAAATATCTAATATCTAAACAACATAGCTAACTAAATGAACGGCGAAACAAACAACAACTTGAACATAAGTGAACCAACGAGACAACCACAACACAATAAAACAGCCATACAACGCTCTTGCAAATCTGATGAAATTATTTTACATTGTCGCTCGTTGCATTAGAGTCAGCAAATAGTGCAAATGCATGCAAAGCTCTGGATGGAGGCAGTTGATATGAGATGAGATGCTACGAGATGAGATGCAATGAATGTACAGTCCAATCCTCAGTGGAACTACCCTGGATCGTGAGTGCTTCGATGAATGAATGAATGAAAGAATGAATGGATGGGTGAATTAATGAGTGAATGATTTAATGAATTTAAAATTGTATGAAAAATGAACGAACGAATGAATGAATAAACGAGCAAATGAATGAATGAACGAATGAACGAATGAATAAGTGATGAAAAGATAAATTGATGGATGAATGGATGCATGCACATCACGTTGAACTCCTATTGAATTCTATCGAATTGTTATTTATTTTCTATTGATTTCTTGACATCTTCAGCCAAAATGGCATATTTTTAATTTTCTATGACAATTCAACAAAAGCAAACAAACTATTAATGAAATGCGTTCCTGATAAAATTTTTCATTTGGCTGGTTAACGTTAGCAACGTTACGTCACATCATATCAAGACATTTAAAGAGGGCGAAATAAATCATTCCAGCTGACAAATGCTGATGCTGATATGTGGTTGACAATTTTTGTCAACGAGCGATTGCTTCTCCAGGGGTGGACGAACTTTTTGCTGTGAGGGCCGCATTGAAAACTATTATATATTTGGAGGGCCTCATATGTACATTTTTCGACCATTGACCGGTGTTGGGGAATTTGTTAAGATGTTCATTTGAGGCTGAGGACTTATTTTTTTGTTTTTTTTTTGGTCATAATATCAGCCTGACGACCTTTTTATTTTGTTATTTCATTTTTCTTTTCTTTTTTCCAAAATGCGTACAAGGACTTGCAGGCCACGTATGATGGCTTGGCGGGCCGCATGTAGCCCGCGGGCTATAGTTTGCCCACCTCTGTTTAACCCATTACACGATCTGACCATTATATCATAATTATTCAAAATATAATTTTACAATTTATTTCATAATTTAAGTGGCAAATAATTTTATTATTTCATTATATTATTTCGTAATATTATTTCGTTATAATAATTTGCTAATTTTATTATTTCATTTTATTAATTTGCATATTGTTTGAGCAAAAATAACGTTCAGTTGGATTTGCATTTATGACTAATAAATTCTTTTAAAATCGATCGATGTTATTTTTACCTTTTCATCATTTACATAAACAAATAGGCATCGGCTAGTGAAATGAAACGATGAAAACCTTTTTACACCAGTTCCTAAGAAATAGAAATTTTATACTCTAGTGTTTTTAACGTTTAAGTTCATTTATTATTTTTAATAGAAATTAGTATTATCTTTATTATTTATTATTATTATTACTTTCATTTGATGTCGTTGTTTTGACTGTGTATAAATAAATTACCTTATTAGAAATAGCAAGCCATTCAACTACACCATTT